AGTCAACTATAATATTAATAAAATATGAAGAAGTTAAACTTTAAACATCCATGACTTAAACACTTTATCCAGGATAAAAGCCACATAGCTGCACCTGCAAGGTGAATACAGCTGGTAAAAGAAAGTGTTTGAATGCGTACATTAACAGGTTTATGATGTCACTGCCCCGTCCAAGACACGAGTGGATCTGACTTTAATTAGGCTACATTTGTCTCGAGTGTTTCGTCAACTTAATGTGTTGCTTAAAATAATACTTATGCATACAGTAGGCTTTGTGACACTGAGTGTTGCACGGCCAGATACGGCTCAGCTGACTCAGATAAGGAAATATATGATATATTATGATGTGATATGAATGATAATGGGACACATTGACGTCTGCAGTCACAGTGCCGCGGACTGTAGGCAACGTAATGTTACTTTGATCCGGTTATGTTTTGGCAGATATTTAATTAAGCTTTCTCAACATAATAGTATAATAATAGTTATAATAGTCAGATTGCTCTGAAGATGGGAGGTGATGTTCTATTCATTTTCACGTTCACACAGTCGGTGATTTTGGCCGGTCGTCTTACCTGCAACGGCAGTTTAAACTGTATTTCCTCCGCACACTGAGGTCTGATTGGTCAGCAGGCGTGGTGCTTTCGCTGAGTTGATGACAGACTAGGTTCCAGGATAAGTCACCATGGTGATCTAGCCCGCTTAAAAAGTGAACCAGCTTCGTAGTATCGGAAATCCCAGAAGTTATCTTGCTAAACGAAAATCCTGCTTCGTAGTATACCCCCCAGGTTAGCCGTTCAGCATAAGTTACCATGTAGATCTACCCCGGTAAGAAGTGAACCAGCGTCGTAGGACCGGAAACCCAGAGTTTTCCCTGAAGTTAGCTCGCTAAGCAAAAATCCGGCTTCGTAGTACAGGCCTCAGTCCAAGTCCTTCAGATGTAGAAACCTCAGGCCATCAAAATTACCCTGAGTTTAATTGTATTCTTCTGTCTTTTCTTTTTCATAACTGAAAAAAGAAGATTTCTTTGTTTTGTGTGATAATTGTTTTTTTCGCTAAGTTATTACTCGCTTTGTTTTTAATGTTTTTTCTTGAAGTGTTGTTACATGGGACAATCATGTGTGTGTGATGCATGTCTGGAGCCTCCTTTTCGTTACATGTGGTTTTCAGGATTTGTTTTTAACCTAAGATTGTATATCCCTGTTTATCTGACGCTGTTGCACAAACAGTAAATTCTAACTGTACTGAAAGGAACACAAACCATGATTGGTGGGGGGAATCATTGTCATGCCCTTTTTTACTGTACTTTGTGTTTGCTATGTTTTTAAGTTGAAGCGTGTATCCTGCTGTGAATATAGGAGTAAAATGAAGACCCAAATGTAACAAAATGTGATGCTTTGTTTAACAAGAGGGAAATAGCTGTATAAATGTGGATTCTTAAAGAAAAAATCAACTTTAATGGAACACGAGGAAACAGTACATGAAGTCACACATTATGCAACACATGGAAATACATTACATTCAAATCGTAATAACATTTACAACATGTAATAACAAGTCTTTGAGTACCTACAAATATATCCCACTTTTACTTGTAATGGAGTGCAGTTAACATCCCAATGAACACAAAGAGTGCTTTATCTGTCTTCCCGAAATTAGGTAACACTTGATCATTTAAGTACATGTGCTGAAAATGTGTTCATGAATTCCAATCCATGGTAGGTTTCAGTTATGCGGCAGAGGTAACTGATATTTTAGACCAGGGGTGTCTACATTTTCACCGAGGGCCACATACAGACAAATATACGAGGGGCTGGGCCACTCAATAGAGGTGAGGTATACTGCCTCAAGTTAAAGGTGGGGTAGGTCATTTTGGAGAAACCAGCTCGAGTGCGCTAGAATTTGAAAATACACAGCCGGAAAAAATCTGCCACTTCCTTACAGAGCCCCTCCTCCAACACACACGAACGCGCACATGACCAATGAGGGCACGAGATAAGTTTGTGCACAGATGGAAGGCTGACAGGCAGGTAGGCCATCCAGTTATTTTAGACGGGCCGGCTCAGACGATTGGTCGTGCTTTTTACATTACTACGGCTTCCACAGATGACATTTTTTTATGGATTTTTTGTCAAAGCACTTCAGATATTCATTGCTATCGGGATGTTAAGAGCATTCCATGGAATATAACAAAAAGTGTATCTCGAGCCGGTTTCTCAAACTTACCTACCCCACCTTTAAGTTATACGTTAGCAAAATCAATCAAATGTAGGTAAATGATGCTTAATCAGCCTACATCCCCAGCTCTCCATAGGGTTTCAATTATTTAGTTGGCAGCTCATTCCTTAAAACAGGAGCCCCAGATCGCTTATCATAAGAGGAAATAGGAAGGGTTTATTTCAAGCTTGTTATGAAAATAAATAATTGGGCTTTTTTCTTATCAACTCAGATTTTTTAGAAAATGTTTTCAACTTTAATTGACTGAATTTATTTGAAAAGCGTGATGACATGATTACTACTGTGTAATATCTGTTTTCATCTATATGTAAGAAGTACAATACAAGACGAGCACAAAATTCATTTTAGGGCCATACTCCATTATACTTTTTGAATTTGTTGAGGGCTGATTCAAAATGGCCCGCGGTCCGCATTTGGCCCCCGGGCCGTAGTTTGGACAACCCTGTTTTAGACATTTAGATGTCAATAGAAGCGCCTTTGGACAGAAAACCCGGACAAAGCAGAACATACAGAATACACGACTACCTGTGTGAGAGACGGTATGTTATGACACTGAAGAGATGGGGTTGTGCGGGGAGCCCATCTGTGTGAGGACCTTGTCCAGCCACTGCAGGGGCCCGTGCAGATGTACCTCGATCCAGCAGGGGGTGCTGGTGACATCTTGCCGGTGGTATTCGGCACCCCAGCCCTGAGGAGAGGATATCCATAAATCTTTGCTGTGCATGTTGACAGTTCAGTTAATGATTAAAAATGAATGGGTGCTAAGTGACCAAGTGGGATCCTTACTCATGTACAGGATTTGACAAGCTCGACATCACATTAAGTCCAAAATAACTGCATATTAAGTTACGGTGAGAAACTTTTAGTAGATATCCAACACTTTTTATTAAGCCTTAATGATACCTATACGTAAAACTGCAGGCAATAGGGTCACCTACTCCATTTCTGTGTCTTCATTTGGCTTATTCCCAACAGTTTAATTGATCAAGAAAAATCAGTACCGAAAGATTTGAGAAAGATCTAAATATGTTGAAAAAAAGTAATAGTATAGCATGTTGAAAAAATACCATGAAAGGCTTGTTGAAAAAAGTCATGCAAAAAGTCACAGTATAGTATGTTGACATTTTCTTTTATAAAAGTATGTTGAAAAATATTAAAAAGTAATACTATGACGTGTTGAAAAATGTCCTAGTAAAGTATGAACAAATGTATTGTATAATTAATACAAAATTCATAGTCTAGTCTGTAGAGAAGTATAATTTTGAAAATATCATGAAAACGTCATATGTTGGAAAAAAAGTAATATTATAGTTTACAAATAGGAAAAAAGCTCAAGTATAATTACAAATGCAATTGCAATTAATTGAATGAGAAAGCTCAGTACCTTAACAAAGCTCATACGGATGGTGCACATCTTGGTGAGCTCATAGACGACCTCAAAGCCGTGGTTGACCGACTGGGCGAGGAGCTGGGCAAACAGCTGGTTGTTGAAGATCTTGAGGCTGCAGCCGCTGGGGATCTTACACACAGTGGTGGTGTGGAAACCATGCTGGAAATTACAGTTGCGGCTCTGGACGAAGATACTGCTGTCGCTCAGACACTCTGCGTACACCTCGCCGCCCACATAGTACAGGTGTAAACCTGACAGGAACGGAGGAGGAAAATCAAGTTACATCCAAATTGATTCACGACTGGCCTGTTGACAATAATACCCCGGTCCTTTTACTGTGGTCCAACCATGTCAAAAGCACAAAAAACAGATTTTATCCAAGAAAAGATTTAACGAAAGATTTAAATATTCAATCACTTCGTTGAATACAGAAACCGTGTGTTTTTCAATGTTGCCAAACCACAAGGGCATCTATGCTTGTAAATGAGGAATGTCTGAAAAGTGTAATTAGTGTCTGTGATTTCAGGACCAACTTCCCTAAACCCTTTGTGACACCCCTATCATTCGAAACCATACAATGCACATGTTACTGTAACACAGAGCAGCTCGATGTCTGTCCAACAAAGACAGGCTTTCTAAACTCTTTTACCATCAGGAAAAATAACATTAGCCTAAAGGATCCATCACAAGGATGCAAGCTGAGTCTAAAGTCTGAGGTAATTAGATTGCTTCAAAAAGAACACAAGAATATTAATCCATAAAATAAATTGCGTTGTGTGGAATCTTTGCAAACAACATCTCAGTTTTTGCTTTCACCCAAAGTGTGATGGGCACAGTCCATACAAAGTCCATAATTCAAAGTCCTGGGCTGTGATATAAATAACCTTCACGATTGGTACAGCCTACCTTTGCCTATGTGCCTGCGTGTGTGTTCGATGGTGGAGTTGCGGTTGACATTGGATAGCAGGCCGAGGCAGAAGCGGTTCTTGTTGTTGGAAGGGTCTGTGAAGCCGTCCACCAAGACGCTGCGGGACGACGCGTGGAACGTCTCCCCAACCCGGTTGTTGAGCTCGTAGTAAGCAACCGAGCACCAGTACTCTGGCTCCTCATAACATACGGGCCTTAAATCTAAAAAGAGGAACACAAGAAAGGTTTACATTAAGGATGAAATATGCTATGATAAAGTGTCAGTCATACAAAATCTCTTAAATTAGACACATTTGTATAATCTCATGGTATACATTGTTTGTTACCTAGCAACCATACATACTTTTAGATTGTATGCAATTCTATTTTCTTCTATTTGATCTCTTCTAGTGTGAAGTTACCTGTGTGTGGAGCAGAGAATGTGAGTTTGAGTGTTTCTGTGGAGTTATTGGGCTTCACGTCGTCTTGAGGACTCGTCTCCATCATGCTGTACGGAGGTGGGGGAGTCTCGGCTGGAAAAGCACGTCACAAACACAAGAAAGTGGGAAAGTAATGAATGTTTACTCATCGGAGACTTGGATCCCCTGCCACAAAAACGTCAACACTTCAAGTTTTAGCTTGCTTGTTTTGATTCCTACCTGTGATGTGGTACGGACTGCCAGGCTCTGCTGAGCTGTTGGGGGAGTCGGGGTAGCTCTGTGAAGTGGGAGACTGGACGTGGGAGGAAGAAGGGGAGGAGGAGAAAGAGGGGCAGGGCAGCACAGGGAAGGAGTCTGGATAGGTGGCGTTCTGGGGCATGAGAGGCTCTGTGTGCAGGGAGGCGTTCCTGAACTTTGCCAGTAAACTGTGTTGAGGGTTGAACTCGCTGTGGCGCGGGACCAGAACAGGTGGAAGCACTGAGAGAGGACGAGAGAAAAAGGTTGAGAGGGATCGAACAGAGACAGAGAGAGAGAGAGAGAGAGAGAGAGAGAGAGAGAGAGAGAGAGAGAGAGAGAGAGACAGACAGATGCTGTTATAAAAGATCATATTACTGTAAATCCTTATGGCTTGGGAACACTGTATTAGATCAAATGTCCTGTCCCGGTTTGGGAGCCCACAAAAGCCTTACTGTTATGATATTAAACCTCAACAATGATTACATTTTTGTTCAGCAGGCAGGAAAGATGCGTTGTGCTAATGTGTTTACCTGGGGTCTCCACGCGCCTGTAGTGGTACGGGTTGACGCAGATGTCCTTCTGCTTGGAGCAGAAAGCGAACTCGCAACACTCCAGCGCTTTCAGCTCGTGGTGGGACTGCAGGTCGGGCCAGCGCCACACCCTGCAGTAGATGACGTGGGGCAGTCCCTTCCTGTGGGACACCTGCAGCCTGCCGTCCAGAGAGCGAGGAATTGTCACACACTTGCCTGCGGGATTAAAATGAACAAGCAAGGAGTTCAACACAGCTTGAGAAATGACAGATTGTGTTGCGTGCTAAACATTTGCAAAAAAAGTATTTATCAAGCCGTTTGTAGGAGCCATTTATGTTTGACAGTATCTACAGTCAACTTTTATTCTCCATATATATCAACTGTTTAGGTGAAAATGTGGATGAAGCTACTTTACATTTTTATGCGGACGATACCGTGATGTATTGTGCGGGTCCCTCCATTAAGGAGGCTGGTGTTAAATTACAGGCTGTTTTTAACATTATACAGACTCTAAAGCTGAGCTTAAGCTTGTTTTAAATGTTGAGAAAACCAAGGTAATGCTTTTTTCAAAAACAAAAAANATGCTTTCACTGTGTTCATCTCTTATCCTGGAACCTATCCTGTTTAAGAGTTTTAGCGGGCTAGATCTCCATGGTGATTTATCCTGGAACCTAGTCTGTGCTCTTAAACAGGATAGGTTCCAGGATAAGAGATGAACACAGTGAAAGCATCACGCCTGCTGACCAATCAGAGCTCAGTGTGCGGAGGAAATACAGTTTAAACTGCCGTTGCAGGAAAGACGGCAGGCCAAAATCACCGACTGTGCAATCTGACTATTATAACTATTATTATACTATTATGTTAAGAAAGCTTAATTAAATATCTCCCACAACATAACCGGATCAAAGTAACATTACGTTGCCTACAGTCCGCGGCACTGTGAGTGCAGACGTCGATGTGTCCCATTATCATTCATATCACATCATATCACATCATAATGTATCATATATTTCCTTATCTGAGTCAGCCGATCTGTATCTGGCCGTGCAACACTCACAGTGTCACATACTGTATGCAGAAGTATTATTTTAAGCAACACATTAAGTTGACAAAACACTCGAGTCAAATGTAATTAAAGTCAGATCGTGTCTTAGACGGGGCAGTGATATAATAAATGTTGTTAATGTACGCATTCAAACACTTTCTTTTACCAGCTGTATTCACCTTGCAGGTGCAGCTATGTGGCTTTTATCCTGGATAAAGTGTTTAAGTCATGGATGTTTAAAGTTTAACTTCTTCATATTTTATTAATATTATAGTTGACTTTTCATTCAGGAAGTATGACGCTGCGCTGTCAGTACGCTTCTCCATGTTTGTCGAATTGTTTGGTCGAATGCTCCAGATACCACCCCTTTTATGTGAACGCGCACCTAACTACACTGAACAAAAATATAAATGCAACACTTTTGTTTTTGCTCCCATTTTTCATGAGATGAACTCAAAGATCTAAAACATTTTCTATATACACAAAATAACCATTTCTCTCAAATATTGTTCACAAATCTGAACAAATCTGTGATAGTGAGCACTTCTCCTTTGCCGAGATAATCCATCCCACCTCACAGGTGTGGCATATCAAGATGCTGATTAGACAGCATGATTATTGCAGAGGTGTGCCTTAGGCTGGCCACAATAAAAGGCCACTCTGAAACGTGCAGTTTTGCTTTATTGGGGGGGTCCGAAAACCCTAGGGTTAAACCCTAACCCTAACATGTCACCCATTGAGCATGTTTGGGATGCTCTGGATCGGCGTATACAACAGCGTGTTCCAGTTCCTGCCAATATCCAGCAACTTCGCACAGCCATTGAAGAGGAGTGGACCAACATTCCACAGGCCACAATCAACAACCTGATCAACTCTATGCGAAGGAGATGGGTGACATGTTAGGGTTAGGGTTACACTATGTCAGTACGCTTCTCCATGTTTGTGATTGGTCAAATGTTGCTAACCCCGCCCTGTCATGTGAACGCGCACTCAGCCGGACAAAGAAACCCTGGCTTGAGTTACCGAGTTGATAACCAGCGTCGTAGGACGGCTTAGCGAGAGCGTGTTTGTTTTGGATTAGGTAAACCGGGTAACTCAAACATATCCAGGGTATGTTGAACTGGATTCGCAGTACAGGCCTCTGGACAATTATAATACAATGCCTTCATAATTAATGCTACTACAATAATTAAAATGAGAATAGAAGAGAGATAGCACTAGACATGGTTAGAAATGCATATCTTTCAAGTGATTTAGATCAATTCATGTAGTTTAGTCCAGCAGTCTCATCACGCCTTTAAAATGTCCCTTTTTATTCTTTCTTAAGCAGGGCTGTTTGGCTGGGGATTTCAATGTATACAGTGTATGGTTACTATCTATTTACGAATGCAGTACCAGTGTTTTTTCAGTGTTCTCTATGCATCACAATAAGGTAAAACTGCCCAGCGTCAACAGCCCGGGAACTGCTGCTGTGCCTGGCTGCGGCTCTGTGAGGCCAGGAGCTGCTGCTGCTGCTGCAGGAAGCTGATCACCTCTGGACTTCTGAGCAGGGACTACAGGACACACAGACACACATTTGAAATCAAGAGCAAATCACAACAACAAACATTTATGTATGTGCAATGCCTTGTGTCTTTTTTTGGAGTTGCAGCGGTACACCAATGTTGTGCATATTCCAATTTTTATGAATATTTTATTGAAGAAAAGTCTCAATTTTTCAAATGTGTTTTATAAAGATTTTCCTTCAAAATGTCAGCAGCCAGTCAATCGGACCAAAATGGACTCACCAGTCTCTTCTGGTTGAGGACCTGCTCTATGAGGGAGGGTCTGGTTGGCCGGTCCCCCATGGCGCCCAGACGCTGTTTGTTCACTGATACAGGCCGCTCCTCTGAGTTCTCCTAATTCAATTCAAACAGACAAACAAAAGCTATTATTTGTTCAGCCCTGGTATTGTAACTGCAATGGGTTTAATTTGGTTTTTATTCATATTTTTAACATTCAATACTATGACTTTTTTCGAGGCGAACAACTAAAGCGGTAGACAGCCCTGGAACTATTTAAATGCATCTAGGTATTTAAAAATCAATAATAATAATAATAATGATAACAACTTGGATTTAGTGCTTTTTATGGCCGTGTGTCTATAAAGCTTAAAGATAATCTTACATCAATTTTTCCAGTGGACATGGCCTGATCATTCTTCTTCTTCTTGTACTTGTCTTTGTACATCTTGTTGCGGTGTTTTTTGCACATCCACGGTTTCCGCTGCTTGGCCACCTGCGTGGTGGTCTCCGTGCAGCCGTCATAGGTGCACTGTTTGGGGGCGCTGTCCCCCTCCGAGGTCTCATCGTCGTTCAGTTCCTCTGGGCTGGCGGCGCTGTCTCTGGGGTCCGAAGTGTCCAGAACATCGCTCTCTTCGTCCATATCATCCATGTCATAGGAGGAGGCGTTGTTGTCCGGTTCGTGCGGAGTTATCACATTTCTGCTGTCAACTACTCCGCTCTTACTCACGTAGTACCTCTGTCCGTCTTTAGTGAGCAGGAGAGTGGAGTCCCTGTCTCTGTTTGCAGAGGCTGAATTATCATCTTCACTCATGATTGCGGTGTTCAGATACAGATTCAGTAAAGCAACAGCTTAAGGGAGGCTGTGGCACAGTGGGTTAGTGCGTTGGTGTTGGGATCATAGGAGCACAGGTTCAAACCCCACTGCAGTCAGTATGTCGTTGTGTCCCTGGGCAAGATACTTCACCCCAAATTGCTCCTGTGGGGACTGTCCACAGTATTGAGTATATACGTCGCTTTGGATAAAAGCGTCTAACAAGTGACATGACATGTAATGTAATGTAAAACAGCAGCTAGCTAGTCAGCTAACTAGTCAGCTAACTCACTTACCGTCAGCTAACTAGTCAGCTAACTCACTTACCGTCGGCTCACGTTAGTTTAGTAAGCCATCACAGGGTTTTTCTCAATGTCGAGGAGGCTTGCTTGGTAGCACATGTACCTCCGAGTCAGTTGCTTCAGAAGCGAGGCAAGAATCCTTCCTAGCCTCGGAAAACGAAGAATTGTGGAACAGGCGTGCAGGTGTGCGTCATATGCGAGGCCCCGCCTTGAATGGAGCGCGATTTCCGCCAAAGATTTGGATATGGTTCCGTGCGCAAAGCATTGTGGGGTTGTCTACACATGTGCAGCCTCGAAAGCGCTTTATCGCGAAAACCCCATAATTTGGGAAATCGTTTGACTTCTAACGTTACAATGATAGCCTATCACTGCTGCTCTTGCTCTGCTCTTGCTGCATTTCGATAACATGGATTTTCTTCTTTGCTGCATTACAATTGTTAGACTGACCCCTGGTGGCCACAATAACAAATGCATGCTCCATTTGTTCGAGGCACACAGTATAAAGAGATCCATATAAATGTCTTTGTATGGCTCTGCATTCGTTTTCTGACATGCTACATTATGGCTTTCTGACCTACTGTACATGGACCTTTGTATGACGTTTCATGACATACCATACTATCACTTTTTATGAATTATGAACTAAAACAAATGTAGGCATTTTTAACATTCTTTCATGTAATTTTTTTTCATATTGATCAACATACATAAAACGTATTTTCAACATACCGGTACTATATACTATGACTTTCTTTCAACATGCTTTACTATGACTTTTATTCATGTTTTTCAACATTGCTTTTTAGTATATTTAAAACAAACAATAATGAGACCTTTCACAAAATACAATATGACTTTTTTATTACTACTTTTTCCCAATTTTTTGAAAAGCTATATCTTGACTTGTTTTATATACTATATAACATGCTCCAGTTGTTTTTCCGAATTTCTGGCCTACTTTACATGGACCTTTTGTATGACTTTTTATGATATACCATACTGTGACGCATTTATTTTCCTAATTTACACTGTGATATTTCTTGTGGCGCACTAGTATGACCAGTTGCCATGCAACCAGTATTTTTTAAGCTCTCATTCATAATCTGTAGAGTAGTGTAGTAAATGTAAGATATTAAGACTAGTGAAAGTAAGAAATGGACAGTGGATGACTAAAATATAATGCATGCATTTCATGTTACCATCATGGGCCACACAAAACTATTTCTGAAGGCCGCCACTGGCTGTACTTTGAGAAAAAATGTTACACAGGCTCATCAAACTACAAGAGGCCAACCAACACTGAACGGATGACACTAAAAAAAAATCATAATTTTGGAAGTCTTAAAGCTCAGAAAGATGGACAGCTTTTCTCAATGCAGGGATATATTACAATTGCCAACGTGTCACAGAAAGTGCTCGGACCTACAATGTTTCCACTTGCAACAGTGTTCGATGTAAAAATAGAAATATAAAGTCATGGTCTGGTAATGTGACTGGCAGGATCATAGGGAGAGCTCAGGCAGCTGTCTTAGAGCCATATGTGCTGTGTAACAGGCTGACGCCTCAAGCACAGTGAAAAGTTCCCCATATATATTTTTGTCATAAACTTGAAGGCTCTTATCTTGAATTGAATATAGGACATTCGGGGACCAAACATTTATATTGTTATGTAGTTTTGTTTTTAAGTCAACTTTTAAAAATTTTAAACCTCTGTCTTCAACTGTTGTGGGATTCATAACTACATCAAGTACCTCTCTAGTCAAGTGCCACCCCTTCAAATAACAAACAAATCTTACTCAACTGTGCATTTATTTGACAGTTTAATATTAAGAATAAATCCGCCATCACCGCAGGAGTCGTGTACTGCCTGTCTGATAAAAGTAAAACAATCTCCCACCAACCAAACAGATTCTACTCATTTAAAGCTTAAAAAAAGATACAATGTGTTTTTGAAACATATTTTAATTATTACTATTACTATTGGTAGACCATTGTTGAACAGAGGTACAGGTATTGGTATTGCAACAGGTTGTAATACTGTGGTGCAGCAGGGAGAGCACTTTGGTAAACCACATGTGCCCATGTGCTTGATTCCAACAGCACAACAAATTCATACTGATCTGGTCAATATGCCGGCACATTACTGTATATGTGATGATGAGATTATAAACACAGAAACAGACAAGTGTGACGACTGCACTGAGATCAGCTGTAAAAAGTCAAAAAAATTAAGTAAAAAACAAGTTTAAAGGAACTTCTCTCCCCCCTCTGGCTTCTCCTTTCTGTTATCTCACATCAGTTACTGGAAATTCCTTTACCAGTTGCTTTTGCAAAGGAAGTGACATCATTCCCAGTGTCTGACAGGAAGCAAAGATGGCTGTCCTCTCTAGATGTGTCTGCGTAGATCCATCCAGGCGCTACAACTTCAAGTTGAAATGGTCTTTTTTAACTCAACTGTACTGTGTCATTTCATCATCATGATCTCTGCTTTGTTTGTTTTTTTCTTTGCTGACACATGAATGTTTTTTAGTTTTTTTGATAGACTTACTGCTAGTAAAGAAATATACTGTATTGTGAACTATCAAAATAAATGAAATTGTGTTATTTACATAACCTATAAACAATATTTCATCACGAAACTGAATTCTTTTTATAAGAATAGGCTACTATGTCTGTCATGCTTTCATCTAAATAAATGAAGCCATGAATGAGGTTTTACAGAGCTGAATCATTCCTCCACCATCCTTTAACTTTACTGCTTTCCAGAATTGCTGGTTCTCAGACATCCAAACCGTCTCTCTCTGTTTGACTGCACCTTGACTGCAGTACTTTGTGCAAATAGGCAACCCTCATAAACGGCTAATTGTATACATTTACCACAAAACACTCCTCCAAACCCATTCAAGTGGTACACATAGGCTGAAACAATTATACCTTTCATTACTGCTGGAAAATGTGGATGAAATATGCCTTTGTTAGAGAAAAAATGTAAACAAGGCTTTATATGTGTACATGAAAATGACAACATACCAAGATTAATATGATATCAATTCAGAATGATTGTGAATTTGTGAAAAAAAATTGAGTTTGCTACACAAGCACCAGAATGCTGCTGAATTGTGTGTATCAATATATCATGAACAAAGCAGTTAACAAAATTACAAGAAGGGATCAAATGCACCATTATTTTCTTAATAGCAGTCTGTGTAAAATGTAAACTGTAATACTGCAATCCAACATTACAGGAAGGCAACGCCAATACTGTGTGGAGCACAGAGTTATAGCACTGAACACAATCAGTCATTTATCTTTTTCTACGAACACTATATTTAACACATTTGTAAGAAAAAAACTCCTTCCTCTACACAGTGTAGCTCTCATATTCCAACATTAGTCTATTTCAGCATTTCTGAGCTCTACTTCTAACACTTTCCTATCATTTTCGTTTCCCCTAGTCAACAAAAAGGTATCCTTTATGAAAAAGGGAAATACATATAAAAATGCAGTGAATAAAGAATGAATAAATAAGGTTCAATAAAACATGAACATTGGTCCATATTCTCATATTGCCTTGTCGAGCAGCTCCACCATGATGAAGTTTCCATGTCGAGGCCAGATCATCACTGAAAGGTCAACGCCCTTTCTCGCTCCTCCAGCTCTGCAACATGTGCTCGGATGAGAGAACGTTACAAATAAATAAATACAAGTTTTTCATTTCTTTCCATCTTCCTCCTGTTTCTGGTTGCCTCTTAAGTCTTTCTCCCAAACTACCATATCTTTCCACCCTTTGATCAATCTCTCCTCAAGGTTTGGAAAGATGGATTCAGGTGAGCAAAAAGTTGTTCTCTAATTTGTTGTTGTTTTTTATCCCTCCACAGTTTTCCCTTGTTCACCCCCAGCCTTAGATAAGAGAAAGCTGACGTCTCCTCTTCCTCCTCCTCCATATAGAGGGAGGAGCTGGACGAGGATTTGTACTTCTCGCTTCTTCCTCTTCCTCTTCCTCCCCTCCTCTTCCTCATCCTCTCTAGAAGGGCGAGCAGGCGGTGCTGGCTGAGCTGATGGAGATGTCATCAGAGTCAGAAGGGAGGCTGGGGCTCGGGGAAGGGTCAGGGGTCAGAGAGGGAGGGGCCATGGGCCGGCCTGGGAGGCAACTGGGAGGATCCGCCCGTAGAGATTTCGTTGTTGATGTTTCTTACTGTTGTCACCGTCGGTATCATCTGCAAAGACATGAGCTTCACATCCTGGTGGCGTCCTCGTCGGAGAATCGGCCCCTCCTTATCAAGAGGGGTGGCCTGAAGGAGGGAGGAAGAGGAGAAGATTGAATTAGAACCATTTGAGTAAGGATCCAGGAGCACAGTCATTTAGTATGGAGGACCAGGAGAGCCTTGATTATGTTAAGCAAGTCATCATTTAGATATTTAATTGGACAGTCAGGGAAGCAACAAATTGCTCATTTATAATGGAATATATAAACAACTACCGTCATTTTTGGACTATAAGCCGCGCCTTTTTCGCTATTTTTCGACGCTGCGGTTTATATAACGGTGCGGCTAATCTATGGATTTTTACAGCTAACGGCCAACACCTTTAACTCTATGGGCTCTATGGCCGGTCCGCGGACCCCCACCTTTAAGCGGCGGGTTCCAGCAGGAAAAGCTGGAGGCCGGAAAAGAGTGAGACAGGTAGCGCCCAAAAGTAAAAGTGGAACCGAGAGTGGTATGCCGCTGCTGCGGCTTATATTCAGGTGCGATTTATAGTCCGAAAATTACGGTAATTCAATGAAAAGATCAATGAAAATGTACCCGTAAATGAAGAGTNTCAATGAGTAATAATAATCCTAGGATACAATAAACAATGATATACTTGCTATTTACATTTTCAAGTTATACTGAATTGCTCCTGAATTCAGATAACCCCTTTTTATCACTTACCTCAGAAAACATGACTTCCTATGTACCGTAATTTTCGGACTATAAGCCGCGCCTTTTTCCCTATTTTTCGACGCTGCGGTTTATATAACGGTGCGGCTAATCTATGGATTTTTACAGCTAACGGCCAACACCTTTAACTCTATGGGCTCTATGGCCGGTCCGCGGACCCCTACCTTTAAGCGGCGGGTTCCAGCAGGAAAAGCTGGAGGCCGGAAAAGAGTGAGACAGGTAGCGCCCAAAAGTAAAAGTGGAACCGAGAGTGGTATGCCGCTGCTGCGGCTTATATTCAGGTGCGATTTATAGTCCGAAAATTACGGTAATTCAATGAAAAGATCAATGAAAATGTACCCGTAAATGAAGAGTTTTGATTAAATTCATAAAACGTTTTTATATTGTTCTTAATAAAGATGTTAAGCTACAGTTGTTACATTGTGTAATACATTGAATTAATCTCTTATTTATGTATTCAGGTCTGTTATTAATTCCTCTTATAACTAGGAACATTTGTAATCACAAAACCTCTAGGTCGTCCATAAATCAATGATGCATAAAGTCACACAACAGGAGTTCAGGAGCTTAATATAGCAAGGGCTATCAGTAGAGGCAGCCAGGTGGGGAGTATGACATTGATACAAACATCACTGAAAGCAACAAGCAGGCACACAGGGTTATTTCTTTGTAAGGTAGCACTCACAAAGAAATAGTGCAAACAGAAGGTGACCATTACTAAAGACAAAACCTCAGCCAGGTCACTTTGCTTACTTCCTTGTAAAACATGCGCAACATATTCAATTCTGAGACATTCAAAACGGTATTTTTAATAGTGACTTGCAGTTCCCCATTCACACATTCCAGGAAACACAAAACAAAGGAAGCAAAAACAGATGACAGTGATGAATGTGCTGCACAAAATATATGTTTACAGCGAGCAAGGGACACAACGACCAAAGAGCAGGGACGACATGAAGCTGTCAAAGCAGTAGTCTCAAAGACAATATTTCTCTTTATTTTGATTTCCACCCGGTTGTGTCTCTATGGAAACCTGGCGTACCTTATCCAGTACATGGCCGGGTGCTGGTAGAAATCCAACGACCCAGATCTCTGCATAGAAAAGCTGTCATCCAGCTGAATACAAAGAGAAACCAGCACAATCAAACTAAACACCAGTTCACTTAAAAACAGAACAAAACAAACTTTACTAAGAGAGTCGGATCTGTCTTTAGCGGCAGAACAAAGGAAAACTGTAGACCTTTAAATAAACCAGTTTAACTACAATTGAACCTGACAATCTGTTAGACCAGTTGGTTTATGGGTACTGTAGTTTCTAGCTGTGGTGACTTACAGAAATGACGGACACTCCTGCAGTCGTGTCGTTGCTCTTGGGATTAGTGTTGAAGTGCTTTTTTATCTTCCCTGCTACTGACAACTGATGATCGTTCTCACAAAGACCCTCATCCTGTATCGAGCAAAAAGAGAGGAGAGGAAAACAATCTGAGTTGATGGGAAACTATCGCGAATCGACATGTTAGCTCAATTGTTCCTGTACTTACAGTGACCCAAGGGTGCTCGAGCACCTGGAGGGCAGTGTATCTCTGATCCACCTCCACCTCCAGCATGGATCGAATCAGCTCCTTAAGAAGCAAACAAACACTGGTGAGTCAAGTCAGTTTCCTCCAACATAAAGATCATGTCCTGTAATACATGAAAATATATATTCACCATTGCTGTCTCTGACACGTTGTCCCAGTACGGCAGAGGAAATTCTAGCTGTCCCATTAGGATCTGATCGAAAAGCACTTCCTGATCGTCACTGCTCCTGCAAACAAAAACGTTTTCATGTGAATGTGTCTATTTAAATGAAATACTGCACTAGGAAGGCATATATGACATTAGTATATTTAAAGTGAATGAGCATTTTTCACTTCGTGGTGCAGCTCCAGCTGTTAGCTTACCCTCTGAAGGGGGGGAAACCACACAGCAGGATGTAGGTGATGACTCCAGCTGCCCAGATGTCCACCTTAAGGCCATACCTGCACAAGGACAAGGAATATAATGACGTGAGGCAAAGATACAGAGAAAGAAGGAAATATTAACATCTTAAGCATTCTCTTAAGAAAAACAATATTTACTAAACAAATCTGTAACTTGAAGCCTTAATGCATTAAGAAGTGATACATACACTGAACAAAAATATAAATGCAACACTTTTGTTTTTGCTCCCATTTTTCATGAGATGAACTCAAAGATCTAAAACATTTTCTATATACACAAAATAACCATTTCTCTCAAATATTGTTAACAAATCTGAAAAAATCTGTGATAGTGAGCACTTCTCCTTTGCCGAGATAATCCATCCCACCTCACAGGTGTGGCATATCAAGATGCTGATTAGACAGCATGATTATTGCACAGGTGTGCCTTAGGCTGGCCACAATAAAAGGCCACTCTGAAACGTGCAGTTTTGCTTTATTGGGGGGGTCTGGGGGGGTCCGAAAACCCTAGGGTTAAACCCTAACCCTAACCCTAACATGTCACCCGTTGAGCATGTTTGGGATGCTCTGGATCGGCGTATACAACAGCGTGTTCCAGTTCCTGCCAATATCCAGCAACTTCGCACAGCCATTGAAGAGGAGTGGACCAACATTCCACAGGCCACAATCAACAACCTGATCAACTCTATGCGAAGGAGATGGGTGACATGTTAGGGTTAGGGTTATGGTTTAACCCTAGGTTTTCGGACCCCCCAGACCCCCCCAATAAATATAAACTGCACGTTTCAGAGTGGCCTTTTATTGTGGCCAGCCTAAGGCACACCTGTGCAATAATCATGCTGTCTAATCAACATCTTGATATGCCACACCTGTGAGGTGGGATGGATTATCTCGGCAAAGGAGAAGTGCTCACTATCACAGATTTTTTCAGATTTGTGAACAATATTTGAGAGAAATGGTTATTTTGTGTACATAGAAAATGTTTTAGATCTTTGAGTTCATCTCATGAAAAATGGGAGCAAAAACAAAAGTGTTGCATTTATATTTTTGTTCAGTGTATATATAGGCTGTGGCCTGTGTGTCATTTCTCTAAGTTGTCATTTGAAACCTTAACTCTTACCCTGTTTCTGCGATGATTTCTGGTGCTACATATGTCGGGGTCCCGCAAACAGTGTAGAGAGGTCCGTCCAACACAGTCGCCAAACCAAAGTCTCCCAGTTTCAGGCTTTTGCTGCCGTCTCCATGCTCATACACCTATGCACATAAAAAAGAAGTGGGATATTTAATGGTTTTGTATATCCATTTTTTTGAATAACTCTGTTTTTGTGTGTAGAATAATGTAACTATTCTGTGAGTTAAACACATGGGTTGAGGGGGGGAGCAGTATGCAGCGATATCCTTTTTGTTAATACCACTGGGAGGTAAGTCTTTAACAGGTTCGAACCTCCAGTGACTTGCAATCAAAAATTGCATTGGTAAGGTATTAGCAAATACTGTACATGTTTATGTATGTAATAGAGGGTGGGTATAATTACACAGTAGTATAACTGAAACAAACTATGACCTTCACGCTGTTATAATCCCTTTTTCGTGTACTAACAGTTGTCCAGACATTTCAGCGTCTTTTTAAATTGTTGTTCATTCACTGCTACCATGTTCTGCAACACATCTTGTAAGCAGTGATGGGAGGGGCAAAAAGGGGGAGGAAGAACAGTAGTTGAGGGAAGAAGAAGAAGAGAAGAAAATGAGGAGGTCGACAGAAGGGAGAAGGAGGGAGGGAAGGCACAGGCGAGGGAGGGGAAGGAGTGTGCGGGAGGTGTGAGGGCAGCAGCGATGAGTCATCTCGGTCCAGAGTGACTGATAGCCCTTCACTGTCCATTCACAGGGAAGCTATACTGCGGCAAGAGATGTAGGATCCTGTATGGACACATGCAGACACTCACCAGCAGGTTCTCGGGTTTGATGTCTCTGTGCACAATGTTGAGGCTGTGGAGGTATTTGATGGCGTTGGCCAGATTGTAGAGCATGCCGCTGGCGTCTCTCTCTGTGTACCTATTGGCAGAGGTGATGGCATCGAACAGATCCCCCCCCTGCAGACAAATCATGATGGACAGCTATTAGGAACAGGAGTGTGTTTGGCGTTTTCACACACACAACCCGACAGGTTTCACAGTTAGCTCCTCTTTTCCACTGAAGAGAGTTTCCAGCTTCTGGATTCATTAGGGAGGGATTTTGTTTGGTCAGCAGCTGGAGGAGTAAACTGTGTTCTTATTCTTTTACAAGCTTGAAACATATCACTTTCTTTCAAATTCCCCTTACATTTCTTGTCTTTTAGGCTCTTTCTCTACCTTTCTGTATGAACTCCCAGCCCCCCACCCCTCTCTCTGTTTCTTTCTCTCTCTCTGAGTGCACTAAGTGGAACAGAGCTTAAAATAGGGCTGAATCTGTTTAACTCTCTCTCCTAGCACAGGATCTGACACAGTCAGCATCCAGCGGGCACAGTGACATGTCAGCATTACCACATCTCTATCTCAAACATGTGGTCAAAGGTATGTTGACACCAAGATATTACACCTATATGTGAATAATAAAGAAGAAAAGTCCAAGACATACATGTAACCATTGACAATCCTATCCCCAAAAGGCATATACATTAATATTCTGCTATAACATCCTCCATTCTTCCTGGGAGGCTTTTCCACAAGACTTGGGCACTTTAGACTTTTCTCCACTTCAGCTACAGCAGTGTTAGTGAGGTCGGTCACGGGTGACAAACGATGAAGCTCTGCTAACAGTTGGCGTCCCAAAAGTGTTGGATGGGGTTGAGTTCAAGCCTCTGGACAAGCAAGTTCTTCCATGCCATGCTGAAAAACGATTTATTTTTGGGCCTTGCTTTCTATCTATTTTTAAAACTGGAAACTATTGTCTGAAATATCACGCTTTCCATTAATTAAATAAGGGACCTAGCACAAAAAGGAAAAAGATCACCAAACGATATGTTCGCCATGTTTTTGGTACCTTCCCTCACACTGCACTCACCCTTCTCCTCCCCTTGTAGTGCATCCTTCTCCCTCCCTCCCTCCCTCTCTCTCTCAGTCCCTGCCACTCTCCCAGACTCTCTAAACCTCATTCATCTATTCTACAGCCTCCTCTCGATCCTCCTATTTTGGACACACTCACACGTACACACACTTCTTCCACAGATTGCCTCTCATCTATATTCTGTAGTAACTCTACGCCACAACACGAACAGATGGATCACATTCCTGGCTTCTGAATTATGCACAAACATTTCTTGACTCAGAGAGCGAGAGGGAGAATAAAGAATGTGAACACACGAGCGCTCCGGGCCACAGACCGATTCTCTGGGTCCCAGTGTGTGGCTGGTTGGAATTCATTATTTGCTTCAGCGGTTAAATGTCACAGCTCTGTCTCTGTCACTCTCGAGTTGGACATAATGATCACCAACTTGTATAGAGAAAAGGTGTTCTCAGCTTTAGACTGAGACCGCTGAGGACCACCATGGCACGCCACAGGAGGTCTTTCCTTTCTGCACTTATTCTATTCTATTCTATTGTTTCCTTGCACTTTTTGTATCCGTTTTATTGTGTTGCACTGAGGAGTCTGTGACCTACAGTAATATTTTCATTGTCATAACTACACTGTAGCCATGTACAAATTACAATAAAAGCCTTGAATCTTGAATCCTCCCAGTGGCCATAAAACGTTATAACTCCTCCCCCTTCAGTAAGGAAAACTGCCGGACCACCAGTATGTGCAATATCATTATGAGAAACCACTTCAAAATCATGTGCAATAATAACATGTGCAATTACGTATAAGCTATTACATTTTTTTTTAACTCTAACAATCCTGACTTTTTTACAATCATAACTTGTCCATCTTTGTTTCTTGTTTCTCTTTTTACTGCACTGCTATTGTACAGTTTTATTATTATTATTATTATTATTATTATTGGTACTATTATTATCATATTTATTGTATCTTTGTAACTCTGGCACAAGAATGTCCTTCTTATCTTATCTTAAAACATCCATTATCTTTGTTTGGCCACATATCCCTGCCTGTCCATAGCCAGAGCATATGAAGCACAAACACATACAAATAAACATGTGATTACAGTAAACAAACATGGCCACACACCTTGACCAGCTCCATGACCAGATAGAGCTCGCTGTAAGTGTCCACCTCCTCTATGAGCAGGACGACGTTTGGATGTTTGACCCTGCGCAGGATGGCCACCTCATTCTGGATCATGTGCTCCTAGAAATAGGAAGTGAAATTGATGTTGTAGCCGGGGGTAACAAATGTGTTAATGGAAAAAAAGGTTATTCAACACCAGACCCTCTCCTGCTGTGATGTGTGTGTGCTCTGTTGCTCCTTTAATAACATCTAATACTGCTTTGACGGTGTACACACACACACACACACACACACACACACACACACACACACACACACACACACACACACACACACACACACACACACACACTTCTGGTAAGTAAAAAGAGGATTTTCCAAATGGTGTTTAACTTCTCTTTAAATAACACAGATCAAGATTAATGATCCTAAAAATATTCAATTTGATCTCCAGCATTAATCCTAAAGTACTAGGAAGTTTGTCCCCTGATGCAAACTGTAATTTTTCTTGTCTTTCTTGTAGTTTAATTGACATCAACAAAGTATTAGAACTAGTGAATACATTGAAAGTCTTTTTCTCCAATGAACACTTAGGCAATCAGCAATTCTATACGTTTTGCTTTTAGAGTCATAGCTCACCTTTCCTCTGCATTTGCCCTTGTTGATGATCTTCAGAGCGTACTCCCGTCCTGTAGTGTGCTCCACACATTCCCGGACCACTGCAAAGTTCCCATCTCCTAACGTGCGTCCCACCTTGTAGCGGTCCGATATGTAGGACGGCACAGCTGGAACCTCGTCGACTAAAACCTCAGCTGCAAGGGAAGAAGGCCGAGGTTTAGAGAAGCTGGGGGACTCAAAGTCACTTCCAGGCTGATAACGTAATAGGAGAGGACCTAAAGGCTAAAGCTTTTACTGCTACAATTCATTCATTTATATCCAACAAGACTAAAAGATAAGATTTGTAAAAATGATATGAAAATAAATGGTATACATAAAACAATTAGTTGATTAAACTGTAAAGAAAATGTAAATGGAATGATAAAAAACTAATGAATGAAGATATCACAGATACCTAAAATATATAGGTTATAACAAATACATGTAAACATATTATAGTACCATCATCAGTTTCAAAATATGTTTTTATTTTATTATTTATATGTTTTGTTTCAAAGCCAATGAGAGCTGTAGTTCTTCTGGTGGACATGTTGTCACTCTACAGCTTTGCGTAAAGAGCTCTGTAAATGGCGGTCAAGTAAGAAAATTAAAAAGTGAACATGAAACTAAGTTATAAATTAAATGTATGCAATTATTGGATTAATTTTTTACATTTGAGATGGTCTCTGTGCCCTCTAATAAAGATCAGAACATCAGAGATCCATGACTCAACATAATAATGACATTTTCTTGGTACCTTGACATTTACCAGCACATGGATGTTTGTAGTGTCACTGAGTCAGAGAGGTGAAGAAGTAAAAGGTGTGAGAAAACAGGATGTACAGCGCAGACACAGCGAGACGCACCAAAGGTCAATAACATGATTCACACATGCATGATATTAGCAAGTACATCGCCTTTCCCCACTGATAGACAGATGGCACAAGCATGACAGTATGGCTACAATCATTTTCCTCACCGTCAGTCACAGGTCCATCACCGTCTTCTACCGAGCTGGACACTTTAGTGGAAGACAGAGAGCTGGAAGAACCCTGGGACCCCTGTAGAGAGGGAGGTAAATATTTAAATCTTAATTATCCTTTTAAAAAGTTTGAAATCCACTCCACTCTAAACCAAACACCATAAAGCAGTCCCTTCTGTTACAATCCCAGCCGAATAGAAACATGTCCAAAAATAGACAAAAGTACATTGTCCTCGGGACATCCTGAAGTCTGTCTTTGTGTTTGCATGTCTCTCTTTTCTACTTTGCTGCCCTGTATTATGTGCTCACATAAAAGAGCCAGAACAGATTTACTTAGGCTACTGAGTTGAATATAAACCGGTTACTTATTCAGCAAACCCCCTCTGTGTGTGTCCATGTTGCATCCCAATAAGCTCCTCTCCGTTCATACGACTTTAAGTCAATCCTGTAAAATGTTATACAGTTATTTTCCTCACGTCTACATTTAATAACAGCTAAAACAACTTTAGTGACTTAAATAAAAGGTGGATGAATTCTGCCTCTCATTTGGTTGGTGAGCATCAGGAGGTCATTAAGGGGAAAGAGATGCAGCGTCTGCATCTATCAAAAGACCAAAACTCATTACGCCCTCCACCTCGTAACCTTCTGTCTGGTTGTCATGGAAGCACCGAGGGCGGGGAGCGAGGATCTAGTCTGGACTGTAAATGAGAATCTACCCCTCTCCTGTTTCTGTCTGTCCTCGCTCCTGTACATCTTTCTGTTCTCATCTCCTCTAAAACCCATTAGCTTCATTTCTTTTTTTCTTTTATTAGATGAACATCGTCTCTGTTCTCTCACAGTCAGACCTGTGAGGAACAAATCAGTTAAAGGTATTTGGGAGATGTCCAGTGCTCGAACAAATCCTCCAGGTGCAGCTGGCACATCCGCCTGGCCAGTAACTGAAGTGGCAGCCACCATAATTTCTCCAAAAGATAAGCTGGCCGATGAGAATTAATAACAACGGTCTTTGCGCTGTGAATGGTCTGGACTATGTGTGTGATACATGAGCAACTGAGAGCAGTGCATCAGTGGTTTGATGCTGACTAATGTTGTAGCTGATAATACAACTTATCTCTGATTTCGGTGCATGTGTAGTGTTTTTAAAGCTCTATAATGGGAAACATAGCATAATTTACACACTAATCAAACCTGACGCCTTAGGAGAGATGAGATCCAAACAGTGTTGCTGAATTAATGGATGCTTCCTGTTGTTTTTATACTAACCGAGCCAGCACAATGTGACGTGTAGAAGGCTGCTATAAGGGTATAGTAAAAGTTCACACATCAAACCTTTGAAAACTTTTGAAACTGTCACATTAAATCAGTTTCCTTCTGACTCCACATGGTGGATTTGAGCAACAGCGCAGATGTACTCGATGTAAAAAAAGCTTGCCTAGAAATAGCCTCTAATTTATATGATGCCCAGTCAGACTGTGATACAGCCTGAAGACTTCGCTGTCAAGGCAGAAAGAGGAAAAGGTCTCCCATCACAATGACTAAGATCTGAACTATTTACAGGGCCCTGCTTCCCTATATCTCTGTAGTAACTGTCAGCTTGTTTACTCATCTCCGCTGCTGGGACCTCAGAGCTACCAAGGTGAATGTAGCTGTGAGTCAGGCTGAATTTGGTTTATGTAATATTGTTTTTGCTTGGGCACTCATCCCGGAACAAGAAAACCCACTTAATAACCATAAAGCTGATGACCGTCCTGTGCTTTATCTACAAAACATCCTTCTCATGCTCTTTTATTCCCCTTCTGACTCGTATATTCTCCTCTCTTATGCCCTTATCTCACATCCAGCCCCGTCCTCCACTGGCGTTCTCATTTTGAACTCCTATCTCTCTCCTCCTGCCACCGAGGGAAACAAAATACTGTTGCTATGGAAACTGCTCACAGAGAGGAGAGAGGAGAGGTTGGTTGTGAGACTTCCAGTGAGCAGACAGAAGCCTATATATGGCCGTTTCCTGTCTGCGGGCTGGGAGGTAAGCTCAACCTCCTTTGAACACTGTGTCTCTCTTTCCTGTGCGGAAAAACTTTGAGACAGATGGAGAGATAGAAAGAGTGAAGAGAAAATAAGAAGCGTAGAGAGACAGAGAAAGTGAAAACAAGGACACGGTGAGAAAGATAGTCTGCTGTGGTTGATATTGATCCTTACATTTGGCAAGAACTGTCTTGTTATTGTTAGACCATGCAACTTTCTTCCTGTTGCACAACACAACATAAACTATTCCTAGTTCTACATCTCTACACTTTTGCTCTGGCTATGACTCACACCACAACAAAAACACACACACTGACAAACCTTCACATCACGGCTGGAGCTACTGCTCTCCAACCTCCGAGGACAACACTCAGCGAATGAATGCTGATAGGTGAGTAAATGTGAATTAAACGGGATGTCCACGAATGACCTTAACAGTGGAGCGTCATCTCAGACGTGTAGCAGCAGAAAGAATGAAAAGGAAGTCTTGTCAACTGTACAATTTGGGATTACAAATGCACCACACATTCACAAAACTGTTTTAAGATCAAGGCTAGTCTTGTCCTCGATGACCCTGTGTGAATGCGATTAACACACACATCCTAAAGCCGTCCTTCAGAGCTGGAGAGCCAAACCTCCTCTCCAGCTCTTTCTTATCACGTTCACTGTCATGCATTATCTAGCAAAAGCAGGGTTTATTGGTGTTCGCCTTGTTGGGCAAAACATCTAATATGATTTGATAGAAACAGGGTACTTTGTTTGGTCCCGAGTTCCCGCTCTGACTCTCATAAGGACAGTAATATATCTTGGCTCTTATTTTGGTGTCTAGACAGAGAGCAACATAATCTGTTTGACTCTCATCCAAAGAGATCAACAGTGTTTGGGGATTCTGACTTTATGCTTTGGTTATTAGGACTTTTTTTTTTGTAATCACGTTCCTTATGGGCCACAATCCCAGGGAATCCCACGGCCATGATTAAATGTTTAACGGAAAATAAAAAAAAATGGGCTGTCTAAGCCAGAGAAACAACACATCCGGAAAATAAGCAGTGGGACAGAGATGATGAACACACCTCTGGGACTGAGCTTGTGTTGTAATCTCTTTTGTGCTCGGCTGAATACAGACACAAGTTTAACAAAGAGGAACCAAACATCCTATCATAATCATGCTACATCGACTGGAAATGATCCCTGTCTGTCTTCGTGTGTGATGAACATAATAAATCAACACCAATGAGAAGCAAGAGAAGAAAAACACAAAATGATAATGAAATGACAATGAATTTAATGATGAAAACAAATGGAAATTAATACATTAAGCAAAGAAAAATACAAACTGAAACAAATGAGCCAAGAAGAGCTGGCGGCCTTACATGACAAACTCACAATATTTAAATGAAGCACCAGGTTATCAAATACAATTGGGCTGTGATAGAGCACAGAGACGATTTTCAGATTTACATATCTTACAAGGAAATGGCAGTGCAAAACGCCTTTTACGAAATGTGATGTTACCAATTAAAGATATGTAAATATGAGCCAAAATTAAAATCATGTGTTTCTAGGAATAAAACAATGTATAAGCTTTAATTTTGCATTAAAATCTTCCACAGTTTCCTCATGTGCTGCAGCCAGTCTTTTTGGAAGACATAGGAACACAAAATTGGACAAGCCATCTAATGACATCAACACAACAGGAACAAAAAGAAATAAAGTACAACGCAATAACAAATACAATCTGAAGTAACAACAAACTCACATTGATGAGATGAGACAATAATTACCAACATCATAATACACACCTTCACTCTGCTTGCTTTCTCTCTCACACACACACACACACACACACACACACACACACACACACACACACACACACACACACACACACACACACGTCATTTAATTATGATTCACCCAACACAAAATATGGACGGTAATGAGAGATGGAGCATGCAATTCAATGGGTTGAAGACTTGAATGACTCAATGGTGAAAGGAGAATGTAGGGGACATACTTGACAATAGCCTCTTCTTCACATCTAGTACGCTCACCAAAAATGGCTACCTGTCTGTATCACAGCTGTTGTTTAGTATTAGCATTATCAACCTTCTGTTTGACTTGCCTTCAATCTGTCAATCCCTGCACTCCACATATTTGTAATGATTTATTTCCCTGCATGTGTTTCTCACATCTAATGGAGGAAACAGACGGGGAATAACTTTGACCTCACCAGCTCATTCAATTCATCCATACGTGCTTTAGAGTGGATATTGACAGAAAACAGAATGCGTGTGTCAGCAGGTTTAATATCAAATATTAAAGCATGATGAATACGGAAAGCTAAGTGTGCTTTCAATGATCCAAGTGGCCTCAAAGAAAAGTAGAAAGGGATAGATGACACCATGAATGTTGACCCGTCCTTCATGGTTGTGTTGCTTATTCATTAAATTGGGTCATGCTAGAGTGCATCAAATGTAAAAAACACATGGCCAAGCGCATGTGTGCATTGGGCTGTTGTCTACTGCCTGCGCACAAATGGTGATTTCATGTATTAAAATGTTTTTTTATGAAGCAAACATGATTCTGTGAGCAAATGCCACGAAGAACCGCGCACGTCTATGTGCTTGCAGCTATGCATGTGTGAAATGGAAAGTGAAAAGCTGCAGCGGAATGCCATGTCTGTGTATTCTGCTCGGGGAAATGGGTTAGGATGGTCTGAGCAGTGAGAACAACCCACATCAGTCAGCAGAGTGCCTCTAAGTGTTTAAATGCAGGGTCCAGCGAGGTTAGCTCTTTAAATGCTATCCTCGTAATAGGTCACTGTGGCTCTGTGGCTGCTGAGGAAATGGATTCATGGTAACTTGCAATGCTTTGAAGGCATTTTAAAATGTCATTTTTTTTTTAGCCTTAGTTGTTCTTTTCAAAACACAGATGTGAAAATGCTAGTTTCATGTGAAGAAAAAGGTCATTTTCTGAGTCACGGTTTGGTTAGAATAAATTATGCGTTTTAGGTGTAAGGGTGAAAAAGCTACTCGCTTACTTGAAAGCACAACAAAAAAGGATTTATGTGTGAGTACTCGGTTATTCATGCATGTTTACACAGGGGTGACATAGAAGGGAGAAGACATGTGCAAATATAGTGTGAGAAACTTGCCGCTTACTTCTCAAAGGAGCTTAGAATTAATCTACAAGGGCAATGATGGCATATCATTTCTCCGCGTGAAGTTAATACCCTTTCATATGGGGAAGAGAGAGCTGGGTGGTGGGGGGATGAGAATGGGTGACAGATGAAGTATAAGAGAAAATTAGAAACTGTCACGGAGGGAAGGGACAGGGGGAGAATAGCTAACAGGGCAGATAGAAAAAGCAAGTGTAAAAGAGAAATACACTATATCGTATAGCTGCAGAGTGGAGGGGTAAGATAATGGACTGTGAGGCTTCCTCCCTTCCCTCCAGCTAGGCCATTGCAGGCTTAGTGCCGAGTCAGCGATTACAAACACCCAAATAATCTCGTGTTGAGAAATACACGTTCGAGAAACGCTGAAACTAGAATCTAAAGGTTGTTCACTGAGGCCTCGATTGCACTACAAAGCTCATTTGCGAAGGCTTATGTTTGATGAGAAAAGCGGACGGAGGCGAAAAGACAGGGGGTGAGGTTGATTGTGGAGAAGATGGGGCAATATGCTTCTTCTTTTTCTCATTACATCTGGTTAGCGCTACTTCACCTCACTAACCCTGACTTTTCTTTGGATTGCTCTCTGAAAATTTGGAAATGATACAAAAGAACAGATTGGCAGAAAGCGGGCACCATGATCGTTGTTATTAACAGCAGAATAAGATGTGTGTTTTTGTGTGTTAAATGTGTGCACTTGCCAACCTCTTTCCCTTTTAACGTTGACATGTATGGTGACCAACTTCCATTACACAGACAACCGTTGGAGTCTAAGTGCCCCCTTTTCTGTTCTCAGTACCCAAATCTGATCTGTCCCTGACTGACCTTCACATCACATCAATATAACCTCATCACTGATGGATTCAGAAACATACAGGCCAGACCCTCCACCATTATTTCATTCTCCCTGGCACATCCAATGTAGCAGGTGACCAAAGCTACTGAGCCCAAGAGATACATTCTTTATGCTATGTTGATTTCAGCTGATTTATGTACAGACATTATTGACAGACTCCATTTTCGTGTCCTATTAAAAGGTATTGACTCACACTGCATCATAACCTTTCCTTCCTAAAAAAAGCATTGTGGCAGCACCAATAAATAGCTAAATAATTGCAGAATAAATCATAGTTACTCCCCTGCAGTCAGGTAGAAAAGTGGTACACAAATGCATGTGCAAGCTGGAGGCCATATAAATCCACTGTTTACATATACTGCTGTGTCTATATGTTAATGTAGGAGATGAACCGAGCGTGCAAGTGTGTGTTTGCGAGGGAAAAGGAACTAAATCAGCAGCAGGCTTAGAGTTACTGCAAATTACAAGCTGCTGCAAGAAAACCGTCTCATTAGGATTTAAGGCTGATATTAAAAGCTCACCACCGTCACTGTCAACGACTGGATTAAAATCGACTTGAACACATGCACGCACACCAACACACCACACATGAACCCTCTAATGTGAAATTCAATGTTCTCTCCCATTTGAGTTGCATGCTCCCTCTGCACAGTTGTATATTCTCCATAGAGGCTATACAGCATTCATATATTAAAGTATATTTGCATCCCAAATCTCATGTCTCTCTGTTAGCTACAGAAAACACGTTATGATGTTTTAAAAGAGATTATTTCAAACCCAGGTCAATGACAGAGTACATAATAAAAAGATGACTGAAATAATCTGAATTACTAGTATAAAATGTGCTTCTAAATTATTTTCACAAAAGGACATGTACAAAATGACATGATAAAAAAGTAATCCAAATCAGCAGTCGGTACAGATTGCTTTTGTACACAGCTTGGTGGCTAACGGAGATTTCAAACCAATTTTGCCCAGAATAAAAACAGACATGAAGATTGGAGCAAGCCGCTCACAAAGCCACCCATCAGTGTCATTTTTAGATTAGATATTGCACAAATGACTGACTGGCGGCAGATCTCTAAACGTCAGTGATAGCTTCATTAATTGTGTAGCTACCAAAAGGCAGATAGAGTTCTCTTCAAGGAAAAAAGGATGTGGGTCAGCATGTGTGGAAATGTGACAGAAAATCAGCATGAAATGAGGGATTGCCCTTGGAAATCTATTAACACTGGATAAGGGCGGTAACAGTAGAGGATCCTAACACGAGCCTGACATTCTTGGTATCCCAGAGCAGCAAAGCGTGAGGTCAAAGGTCAATGCCCCACCCCTTCTGAGACACTAAAGATGTTGGGATGTTTCTTCGGATTTCTAACAACTCTAAGATGTAGTCGGCCTATTGTCAGTCATGGATTTGTCATTTTCCTGAGAACAGAGAGGGAATGTGTTATAGATTTAGTGTCACTAAACGATATATGGCTGACTGTTTTTGTGTGTATGCTTGTGTATTCTTGTCTTACCATGCGTTGGTTGAGGCTGCCCGGGCTGGGCGGGGAGGGGCTGGGAGATTTTCCCGAATGAGGAGTGGACAGCTGACTGGCCGGCGTCCCGTTCACTGGAGGGAGAAAACGAGAGGGAAAATGGAGCAGTGTGTGAGAGAAATATGGAAATAGATGATCCTTTAAATGTGAATGCATGTTTTTCTAGTGTCTAGCAGCATCCCACACTTCCGCCCTCAGCTTCTCTCCATTCACATGAATGAGGCGGAGGAGGAGGAGGAGGAGAAGGAGGAGGAGGAGAGCAAGAGGGGCACACTACTCTTTTTTTGGTTTTAAAGAAGCCAAAATACAGATCCTGCTGTTAAAAATCTCTGTGAAACAAGCCAATCAAACCTGAACCTCTAAACATATGTGCACCGGATAATTACAACATGTTCAAGGCTTCAAGTGCATGGCTGGAGGTCAACACACAAAACCAGGATGTCCTCATTTCCATCCACATCCTCTAATCTGTGCACTTGTGACCTCGATTCGGTGTTCTTCTCCAGCTGCAGCACGGCACTAAAACCCAGCGGCATCACCTCATTTAACAAGAACATTAGATTAATCAACACTGCACACAAAATCCGGCATCTGGTCGAGCAAAAGCTTCATTTCAATAAAGCTGAACAGCGTCATTAACCTGCACACAAGACATAAGCCTGGTTTGGTCTTACTGAAAACATGGGTTATTGTCTCTTGGCAACAAAACACTGCCTTAAACCAAGTCAGTCATGAAACTGCAGTAATAGGGAAATACAAACTGGTAAATGGTCAAAATTAGCTCCGATTGTTTGGATTTTCTAACTTAAATATGTTTTAGGTTGCATGACCAATAATGCAACTTCCCCATTGTTCATAGAGAGGGAGGGGAGTAAAATCACTGCATGGTTTTTGGTTAGTTTCTCAAGTCTTTTAATCACACTTCCATCAAAAACTGCCATTTGTAAGCCTTTGTTCTGTAAATATTGCTGCATTTAAACAATATTTCATTTGCAGTCTCCACCTCGACACATTTTTCTCACAGACCTGTGGGAGCCAAGAGGTCCAAGCCTCCCTGTATGAGGTTTATTCCCCTGCCGAGATCAAAGAACTTTCTGAATAATTCAAGACCAAAGCAGATAAAGAAAAACCCACAGCAGACTAAAATAGCACCGGCTTCCTCAGCATCGGGATTCTAATTTTCCAAACGAGGACATGAGAAAGGAAATAAAGAAACTGGTATTTTTTAAGCAATTCCTGGACATCTCCATTGATGAAATTCAGCATCAGCGTTACGCACACGGAGAGACACTCCTTCCAGTTACACAACGGAAAGCGATAGCATTTACAGACATCTCTGATTAGCCTCAAAGTCAATGATATTCAAAGTCACATCCGCGGACTTTGAAAAGACCCGCATACATCTACATCATGATCGGAGCAGGAACGCGTCAAGTCAACGCTGCCGGAAGACAGTGTATACCACAGGCCAGGTGCGTAAAAGCCGCAATGTAAAAACGGTGATTTATTACCTTCCACTTCTAGCATGATGAAAAACACAGTGATAATCCAACGAGGGTTAAAGAGAAGAAGAACAGCACCTCTGTACGCGCTCCGTCCGAGTGTGATAGTAAACTGTGGTGAATGGGAGAGACGGAGAGGAGCTGTACTACACAGGGAGGGAGGGGGGGGGAGGCTGCATGCGCACGCTCTGACGCGAACCGGGAAGAGAGAGAGAGAGAGAGAGAGAGAGAGAGAGAGAGAGAAATAACATCTATGATTTTGATATGTTTTGGCTTTCCATTAAATAACAACATCCTTGATATTTTGGCAGAAAAATAAGAGTCATGGAAGAGGTTTGGTCGGGAGGAAGCAGCCTGTCCTATATTCTGAAGGCTCTATTGTTCCTTGTCCAAACATCCTCAAGAAACAAATGCTGCTATTTTTAAACTGCAAATGTTAACCCAAAGCAAGAGCAATACAGGCAGAAGCAGCAGCATCAGCCAGCTCTGTGTGCTTTAGGGTTTCTCTTATTCCTGCACATATCCAACCCAGAATCAGAACATATGAGGTATTTGCAGGGCGTGTTTGAAGTTTGAATGCAGAAATATAATCTCAAACATCACTGGTATGCTGCATGTTTTGTAGAGATCCTCTCGTTAATGATAACAATTTGACCAGAATGCAATGCAGCCTTTGTAGCTTCTTTCCCACCTGCTGTATTAAACGCTATGGCTGCACAACTTCATAAAGAAGCAGTGCTGGCGATGAATATGGAGAATCACCTCATGTGTCTGCCTGTCTCCAGCTGTGAGTCGGCATGAAGCACAGGCTACATGTTGAAATATGAATGGGGAAAAAAACACAAACAAAAAACATTACCTTTTAAATATTGTTATAATTGGTCTCTTTTCGGTCTCCATCTTAACGCATAACAATGGGTTAATGGGTCTTACCAACCAATACATTAATGTTATCTCCCTGCATATTACCAATCATATGTGCTATGTTCATCACACCTTTATTTTTAAGAACCCCATCCTTTCCTAAACCGACGGTACTGGAGCAAACACAGGTTGTTTTTGTGCATGGTCCACGAAGGCTTTCCAAAACTATTCTTGGAAAATCGACACACAAAATCAGTGAGAAAACCAGGACTATGCCTAATGGAAACTGTCTATTGCTTCTATAAGATAAGCAAAACACAGTAAAACATTATTTAAGGTGAAATACATAAGAGTGTTACTGTTGTTTACTGTGTTGCTTCATGAACACGAAGCTGACTGGAGGATAGTCATTATCTTTAGTGCAAATATCAACACCATAATTAGTTTTTCTTGCAGCCTGTTATTGGGTTCGGTCTCTGCTATTTGTTACGCTCTGCATTCTTATCTGTTTTCAGAAAGTACATTTATCTCCTTCATGAGTGGCAGTGAGGGTTTCACACCTCAGAGTGTCTCAGCCAGCAGCAGCTGATCCTCCGGAGATACTCTGGAGTTATGTGTGGGGTCGCCGCCGCCCCCCCTGCACTCTCCCGTCAAACCGAGTTGCTCATGACAGAAAGAGAAAGGTGAGACCCTGAAGAATCAGAAGTGATGCTTGCTGGCACCATCTGCACTTCCTTTTAGCTGACATTACGCATCAGAGGAGGGCAGGGAAACAGATGGTGGGAAAGTATGGAATGAGTGCAAATTGTTTTCACACATTATTTTGGGTCGGCATAGACACTCAGCTGGGTTTGTGAGATCATCACAGAATTAAGCTCGTGTGATGACAATGTCAGGCTGACACGCAACAAAGTGCCCACGGAAAACACACGAA